TGGTGCTTGATTATAATACAAGAACAAAAGGCAGTTGATTTATCTGACCAACTCTGTAGTTTTACTTAATGTGGAAACATCTTTAGCAATTTCAAACCTCAGTGACAATTCCCATAAGCTTGAAAAAATTCCAAAGAAAGATGGCCAAAAATCGTTCAAAAATGATGCCTGGGCTGTTTTTTTTATAGAAGAGGGGGCAAACGAGCATACGGTTCACCTGATGTTAAGTGACTACCGCAGCCCATGAACAACCGCAACACCAGGGGAATTGCAGGTACGTTGCCGGCCCTTTAGAAAGGAGTAAGCTCTTTTCTTGAAGGTCCCTAGGTCGTATCGGTCCGGAAAAATCGCCGGTGGTAAATTATTCCACATGGAGGTCGTACGCGAAACGTACAGTGGTGGACCGCCAAGCATTCAGTGTTGATGGTATCGGGAGGTTTGCCGCGTAGTGCGTTCATGGCTACGGCTGGGATTAATTCGAACAATTCCTCAGAGCACTCCCCGTGATAGATGCGATAAAATACGCAAAGAGATGCAACATCTCTCCGCAGCGCCAGTGACTCAAGCCCCAATCAATCAAGCAAGATCGGAAAGCACTCGGTCGTCGAAGATTCGAGACGCTCTGCGCTGGATACAGTCAAGTGGAAGGAGCTGGTACTGGGGAGCCCCAGCCCAGAGATGGGAACAGTATTCCATGTGCGGCCGAGGCTGCGCCTTGTAAAGTTGCAGGCGGTATGCCGGCATGAAATACTGTCCCGCTCTGCTGAGCACGTCAAGCTTTTTAGAGGCCAATTTGGCCTTCTCTTCTAAGTGACCACGAAACTGCACGTCACTCGATATGTCGACGCCGAGGATTCCGATACTGGCTGAGGCAACAAGGGGAGTGCCTTGAAACTGAGGAGATACGACAAGGGGTTCTTTTTAGCGGTTAACTAAAAATACTTGTATCTTCTGAGGGTTGAACTGGACTAGATTTAGTCGCTCCCAATCCGATACTTTCTTCAGCAAGGATTCGACTTCAGACACAAGTTTGTCACGTTACTCGGAGACGTTTTCCCGAGAAATTTTGGCACGGCCGGTGTATAGAGCATCACCAGTGCTGTCATCTGCATAGCAATGAATGTTGCAGGTTAGCAACATATCATTGATATGCAGAAGAAACAGCATTGGTGATAGCACGCAGCCTTGTGGAACACCAGCATTAATAGGCTTGTAATCGGAGCTTGCACCGTCTACAACGACCATGATTGCTCCGATCTGCAAGAAAGCTGGTGATCCAATTACCCAATTTCTCGGGAAGCCCATAGGAAGGGAGCTTTGAAAGAAGCGCTTTGTGCCAAACCTAATCGAAGGCCTTCGCAATATCTAAACTAACGGCCAATGCCTCCCCCTTGGACTCTACTGCCGCCGCCCATCTATGAGTTAGGTAAACCAGATCACCAGCTGATCGACCACGACGGAAACCGTATTGGCAATCACTAATCAGCTGGTGATTCTCAAGGTACCTCATGAGCTGGCACTTTACAATGGATTCCATTTTGGAGAACAAGGTGATGGTGATGGTCCTGTCTGTAGCTGGACGGGCCTGAGCGTTCGCCTTTTTTAGGTATCAGGTGGACAAAAGCCGTCTTCCACGATTTTGGGACTACGCCTAGGGAGTAGGAGTACCGGAAAAGACGCGTTAAGACCGGTTCAAACTCTGGAGCACACGTCCTCAGCACAATTGGGAGGATACCGACAGACCCACTCGATATGTGGATGTCCATGGAGAGGAGTGCTTTGCGAACCGAGCGCTGTGTAAACCGCACCTCGGGCATGGAGCACTCACACCGTGGGATAGTCGGCGGTGTACTCCCTCCGTCATCGAGTCGAGTTGGACGCAAAGAAAGAGCCTAGCAGATCGGCTTTCTTCTTTGCGGCATGGGCCAGTGAGTAGTCCTCCCTGTACAGAGATGGAAGAGATGGCTGACAGAAATTCCCCCTGGACCGCCTTGGCGAGAGACCAGAATGCACGGGTTCCAAAAGGAAGGCGAACTTTTAAAAAAGTGATTACCTCGTGTAAGAAAAATAACAAAGCGTTGTGCATGCAAGCATGTTCTAATGATGTCCACAAAATTACATAAAATATTTTCAGACATAAGCAGTAAATAAAGTTCTTTTTTAAACACCGGTAGTTTCTTTTATCCCCCTCACTGTTGTCAAAATAAATAAAAAAATCCGCATGTCCCGCTTGATTTATAAACTTATCCTAATACTATTCGTCCTTAACGTCAAATACACTCCTTACTCACAAGTCCGCCGTTATATTTGTATGGGTCTCATGACTCCGAAAGGAGTCATGGACAGTCAACGTGTTAGAAGTATTGGCCCCCAATCTTTGATTGTAATTATGGGGTTCCATGATTGTAATAAAACTGTCATGTTATAGTAAAACTAATGACATCGTGTAATAAATAACTTCAACTAGTGACATCTGGTGAGCGAAAGAATATTAGCCTTTATTACAATCACACCTGACTGAGATGCGACTGCTGTGTTTGCGCACACACCCGTGCACTACGACCCTGTTCTGCGCAAATGAGTGATGATTAATTTCCTGAGACTGGCCAATGTCAACATTATTTGTTTGTAAACCGCCTCTTGATAGAATAGAAATTCTCGTACATTTTTCTACTTTTCAAGATTCCCTATAGTTGCTGTTTAGCTTTTTCATAGATCCAGATGTTTTTATTAGTAAAGTACATATTGTAGGTAATTAGAGATTAAATAATTAGTAATTATTTGAGTAGTGGTGAGCGGAGGTGACGGTAAATGAACTAAGGTGACAAGCATCTCGTAATATAACTTTTTTATTGAATTAAGTTGACAAATAAGCACATATAGTCCACTTGATAGTACACAAATGATGTTGTCTACCTAAATATTCAATTAAACGGGAATTCACTTCTCATCATTCAGGTACATTGTATCTATGAAACATGTACAGCATTATGCTGCTAATGCTGTCAGCGTGGTCCTTCCTCAGTAGAGCAAACCATTTGTGCTGCAGTGTGGCATGACATAAGTATGTGACATGACTGAGTAACAATAGATGCATACTATGGTCCATGTGTTGAAGCAGTTTATGTTGACAGTATGCCCCCATTATTATTTTTAAAATATTTGTAACTACATTTGAGTCCTTAACCAAAATCATCAACCAGGAAAATACACTACATAACAGAGTGTAAACTACATCTAAACCAAAAGGTTATGGAGCACTTTGGGTACGATGTACATGGCTGTCACTTGAAACTTAATGTATGGTGATTTCAATTTAATCTGGAGTTTTATCAATGTCTGTACTTTTAATCTAATCATCACAACTAGTTTGAATTTCCAGGAGAATAATTTTAATAATGTTGAAACATTCAAATGAATACTATTAGATAAACTAGTGTTCAAAGTAAGTCTTGATAGTAAACAGGTATAAAATATTGACGTATTAAAATAATAAATGTACAACCGACGTCAATATAAATGAGATCATCAATGTAGTCTAAGTACATTAAATACGCATTATTAAGGATAACGCAAAAACTACCAGTCAGATCTTGATCAATTTATATGGGACCACATGAGAAGCATCAGCTTTTAAATAAAAAAATCTTCAATATAGGTTCACCTAAAAGGTTCTGAAGTAACACAAAAATTAATTTAAAAAAATGCTGTTGAATTGAGTACCTCCTTCTCCTTTTTTCGAAGTTAGTTAAAAACAACCACATTCTAATAAAAAAATAAAATCAAAATCTTGTCAATATAAATAAGTATATTTTGATAGAAACTTGTTAAAATGTGTCAGTAAAAAATGAATACTTAATATGGAAAAGTATACAAAAAAAACTACATGTTTTTGTTTTAATTATAGTTTAAATTTGGAAGTTAAGTTAATTATTTGCGTTGTCAATATTTTCTAGCACCTGGAATTAATATTGTATTAAAATTGAACTAGCAAACCTCTCAGACAAGATTACAGATATGAAGGTAACATTAAGATGTTGAGATAAAAATGAAACAAATTCTAGGAATAAACAAACATCAGTACTTTTTCAATATATTTTTAAGATCAAAATACATTTCTTACAACTTTTAACAGTTCAATCATACCAAATTACAATGGAGAACAATATAATAATGCAAATACTATTGTTCAGGCAACTTGTCACTTAAAAAAATACAAAATGCTGCAAATAATATATTAAAACAGCTTATAGCTTACAAACAAATTAGCATTGCGCAGTCAATTGCTTATATGTAAACAGAAATAATATTGCTCCAGCTTCCAAGCCGAGGATTATAATACAGTCCAACTACAAGGGGCTATAAAAAAGCTGGCCGCAAAACTTCAATATTTTTAAGTGAGTTTGAACACAATGTTTCAGCAAAATAAAGATATCCCCATTCAATGAACTGGAAATTAAACTTAATCCTAATACAATCAATCATATTTTTAAATCTCCTTATTACTAAAATATTCCCTAGTACTTATTAGCTATATTTAGTCCTGGCAGACAGTTTTATGATGTCACTCCCACTTGTCCACATCACTACCGATATAGAAAACTATGTTTACTGATTGGGTGATGAATTATACAATGCTGAAACTTATCCTGGGTCAAATGCAACGTTGATCTTGTTAATGTTACCTAGAAAAAATAAAATATTAAATTAAGTATATATATTATACATTATATATTACAGTGCAAAACTACAATTAAAAAGACGAGAAGTTTAATGAACTGCATATTAAAATTACAGAAATCTCAAATGTTATGAAGATCCTATAAATTACCACAAAAAAAATAAAAAAAGTTAATAATTCAAATAATTTGTAATTTAATTTCTACTTCTCTACTTTGATTTTAGATTTATGTAACTTCTGTATTAAAGCATGGTATTGAAAAATGAATAAAAAAAACAACATTAAAACATGTGTTGACTTCAAACAAAACTTACTTCAGTTAAACAGGTGCTCCAGGACCACCTTTTTTCCCAATGAGTGATTTGTGTATGTGTGGGATGACACCACCTCCAGCAATGGTGGCTTTGATTAAGCTGTCCAGCTCCTCGTCTCCTCTGATGGCTAACTGCAAGTGCCGAGGAGTGATACGTTTCACCTTAAGATCCTTCGATGCATTCCCCGCCAACTCAAGAACCTAAAATATCGGTTTTGAATTTATATTTTATACACAATACATATATTATAGTACCCGGATGACCGAGCTTTGCTTGGTTATGCGGGCAAAGTTACATTTATATACAAATTACATGAATAGTTTTTGATCTTATTGACATAATAGAAAAAACTGAACTGGTTATTTGAATAAAAAATGAGTGCAATTAGATTAATTAAAATGTTCGTATTTTAAAAAATACTAAAAAAAGGGCTCGAAATAATAGATTTTCTCACAAAAGAAGGGAACTTGAAAAAAAAAAGGAAAAAAAGTCGAACTCAAGACGGGCCGCGACCCACGGAACACCGATATCACGCCAGAACATCCCACCTGAGCTATTATGATCGTTAGTAACCTGTCAAAATTTACCTTATATTGTAGCAGTTTTTTTATTGCTTGAAAACACGGACAAAGGGACATTTTCTAAAAATAAATCCTAGCTAGATCGATTTATTGCCCCCGAAAGTCTCTGGACACTAAATTTTACGAAAATCGTTGGAGCCGTTTCCGAGAATCCGATTATATATATATATATATATATATACAAGAATTGCTCGTTTAAAGGTATAGGATACATTTTGCTTCTTTTATACGAAATAGGTATTTTAACGATTTCGATTCGATATTTTGATTGATGAAATTTTTTTACCAACTGTGTATCTCATAAAAAGCCAAAGATTATTTATATGTGGATTTTATTTGAGGTAGTACCTAAATAATTGAAACTAGTAAATTCTACACTTTTTGAAGTAAGGCAAAGTTTAAGATTCGTGGATGTAAACAAAGAAGGAAAGTTTGGATGTAAACAAAGAAGTCTGAAGTCGTAAATGGACATAAGATACAATTTTCCAGGTTTATAAATACTAGAATAAATTTATGTCATTCTCATCTTCATTGTCATCTGTATTTTTTCAGGAACAAAATATTTCCCGCCAAATTATAGGTAGGTACAATATCTCTAAAATAATATTTTGGTCAAATCATATCTACGAAAATTTTGTGAACACTATTAGTATTTGGAAACACGGTTTTCAATGAAAATAGTAAAACTTTAAATGGGCTTAACTTGGATGAATTATTTATTTTCCCGCCAAAAGCATTACTAATAAAAATAATGTTCGTAAACAAACGTATAAAATGCTACAAACAAAATTCTACGAAAACTTGAAAATAGGTTTAAAATCAGCGCACATACATGCGCAAATTTCTAGAAAACGCTAGTAATTTTGTATTATAATTGCTTTATGAACCGCCGCCATATTGACAAGGCGTCGCTTTCTTACCTCGGCAGTAAGATATTCCAGAATAGCTGCTGAATATACCGCCGCTGTAGCACCAACACGGCCGTGACTTGTTGTCCTATTTTTAAGATGTCTATGTATTCTTCCGACAGGGAACTGAAAAATGAACTCATATTTTTATACATTTATTGATTATTTCCCTTCTCAAAGTTGGCCGCCGCCATACTAGAGGTCATGCGTATTATTCAATTTTGTAAAATATTATTACAAAACGATTTCAAATATTTTTCGAATGTGAAAATTCATTATATAATTTAAGACAACTTTTTATCATACCTGCAATCCTGCCCTAGCTGATCTGGATACTGCTTTCGCCTTGGCTTTGCCTGAATCTTTACCCGCTTTACCACCAGCCTAAAAATCGTGAAAAAACCTATTAATTTTCATCATACGAAGCTGAAACTTTGCCAGGTAACTTATTACACGATAACCCATCGAAAAACACAATAAAATCACAATCACTCCGGTTATATTTCACAAAATCTTGTAAAACTCACCATTTTGAAACGTGTAACACTAATACCACTACAGTGCGCAACCAACACAGGAAAGGCGCCAAGCTAAATCGACAAGACAGACAAAAAGATGGCGGTCAGTGGCGCGCTACTGGCAGCAATATGCAGGTTGGCCAATTGCACACAAGCGGAAATGTCGTAAAAACAAACAACAGTTGTTAAACCAATCAGTGTCGTTCAAAATGGCGGGCGTGGAGAGTGCTGCCAAGCTAAACGGTGGTAGATTTCAGAACTAGTAGAAACGTTTCATTATTGCAGTTCCAGTCAAGTAAAGTCTATGATATAAAATATAACATATTTGATGAGGATTATAAGAATTTTATTTTAGTTTGATTTAATAATACTTTTTGTAAGATTATGAATCCTATTAAAGTAAAATTAAATTGTAACTTGATAGTTGTTTAATGTTTGGTTTTCCAATAAATATCTATAATGTAAATCTATAGGCATGTTCATAATATAGAAAGACTGAGCAAAACGAGTCACCGGAGCGAGCGAGCGCTAACAATCTGAGCTACCAAGGCACAAAAATAACAGCAAACGAGTCACCGGCTAACCCATGGAGCCATGGAGGTTAGAGAACAAGAGCACTAAAAATTTGGAGGTTAGAGAAGAGAGATAATAGTGTCCCATAAATATGGACGAAATAAGTGAGGTGCTGCGATCGCTAAATTGTCTAAATAAAAGCGGGCTGTTGTGCGCTAGTTTGAAATGATTTTAATATCGTTAAAAAATAACGAAATTATTATTATTTATTAATAAATAAATTATAAATTATGTTTTTTTCTAATTTTAATTGTTACAAATATTTAAAAATACAAAAGGACAACATGACTTTTCATCTGTGAGTATTTTAACATAATATTCAAATATATTATCATTAAAACTCGTACTTTCTGAATAATTTTGCCAAATACCAAGTGTGACCATCATAAATCATAAAGTAAAAATAATCTATTTTTAAATAAATATAATTTACTACACAAGTTAATTATATTAACGAAAATATTTCCTAATAACTTAATCAGTTTGTGATGAATAATAATCATTATAGATACATATGTAGTGGATTTTGTTAAATGATTTATATATTCATCTCAATTTTTACATAATTCTGAATATTATATAATTTAATATAATCGATAACCGTTATTTATCAAAATATTATACAAAATAAAGGCCAAATAAGTCAAACCGAAACTTGGCTACCTCGCAGCTAAAGCGTGCAATTTTTATAAAAATGAACTAACCGAAAGTATTGCACTATAGTGATATACGCCACAACTTTAGCTATCGATAAGTTAATTAACCACGCGGGTTTGTCTGCCGAACAGGTTTATAGTTTTTATTTAGATTTTATAATAAAGTATTACCAAAAGTAGTAAATTTTTCTATTATTGGTTTGTTTTTACAGACTTCCAAGAGATCCTCGTAGGCAGCAAACTTGGATTGCAGCTTGTAGAAACCATTAATCTTGGATAACTTTTTTTATGGGGAAAAACCATATTTCATAGCTAACAATAATATAAGGTTGCCGACACTGCAGTACCTTGAACTTGTGGGAGGAAATGTTTGGCTGTAATTATATTTAGATTAAATATTTTATTATACCTTTGACACCAATATTATTCCACTTGAAAATATTTTAGAATTTCGATAAATTTACAAAAGCATTAATCTATCAAATTCAGTTCATTATATATATAAATATAAATAAAAGATCTTTTGATTTACATCAGTAAATTATTTATTATAGGCTGATCGTAGTGATTGTACAACATCGTCTATATCGAAAAAAAAGAAAGCTGGATGTTTCGGAAAATTCCATTAGTTGTCTCGAAAGTCACAATTCGAAGAAAATTCCTTATATAGCCCCAACTAGTCCTACTCCCACTGCAAGTACGAGCCAACACTTAGAAGATACGCCAAGGAAAATTAAACTAAAAAAATGCCTTGACATAAAAAAACAATAGCATAAAAAGGTTTCAATCGCAAAACGGTATTTAAAGAAAAAAGTTACAAGTTTACAAGAAATACTAGATTCTCCGACAGGGACATCTTTGATTAATAAAGAAAACAAACAGGTCCTAGAAAACTCTTAAAGAGACAATTACTTAAAAGTAAGACTGGAAAACTGCCCAGAACTAAATATACTTCAGAGTTAAGATGTTTTACCCTAACACTTAATTATTACCCACCAAAAGCCTATCACTATGTACGTAAAACTTTTGGAACATGTTTGCCTGCACCACGGACATTGAATAAGTGGTACAGTACCATCGATGGCCGAACAAGGTTTACTCAAGAGGCGCTGACGGCATTAAAATTGAGAGTGGAGAGTAACCCTGATAAAAATTTTATTGTACCTTGGTCATGGATGAAATGAAAATTAAGCAATTGACGGAATACCATGCTAGCAGCTAAAGGCATTATGGCTATGTCGATTACGGGTTCATAGGTTCGTTCATATCCGATAATTCCGATGAAGCTTCTGACGCATTAGTGTTTTTATTGGTAAGTAAAGTTACGAGCGCTGAATTAAAAGCACAGCTAGCAACACAAGATTTTTTGTTCACGAAACTGGCATCGAAATAAAGGCGTTGACATGTGATGGTTCAAAAACCAACCTCGCCATGGCAGACGAGTTGGGCTGCTTTTAGGTTAGCACTTGTACCCTTTACTAAGAAGTACCTAATGGGCACTTTACAAGAAGTATTAACGCCCATTAATAAAAATGCTAAAGCATCAGTAGCGTTCTCCGAATTGTCAGAAATGAAGTCAAATCCATAATTATCATAACCAAATGTCTTTTAAAACTTGCATGGTACTCCATCAATTGTTTTATTTTTATTTCATCTATCATTAATATACATGGTTCATGGACTTGGAAAAGGCCTATGACAGAGTGAATAGGGATGTGCTATGGCAAACACTGAACTCATTTGGGTTGAGCGCTGGCTTGATACGGGCATTGGAGTCCCTTTATAGGGACTCTAGTGCTTGTGTTAGGATCAACGGGGTCTACTCGGACTGGTTTGACATCCATAAAGGTGTCAGACAGGGCTGTGTAGCTTCCCCGTGGCTGTTCAACCTATTTATGGACAGTTGTTTGCAAAATTTGAAAGTTGAAGAATGCGGATTAAGAATGGGTGAGTTAACCGTCAAATGCCTTTTGTACGCCGATGATCAAGTTATACTTGCGTCGTCGGCGGCCGAGTTGCAAATGATGGTTACATTAATGAACAGATCATTAAAAGAAAGGGGTATGAAAGTGAACGCAAGTAAGACGAAGGTTATGGTTTTTGAAAGAGAAGAAAGTAAAACGATTTGTGAAATAAGAATAGAAGGGGATTTGATCGAGCAAGTAGACGAGTTTGTATATTTGGGCTGCGTATTTAGCAGGGATGGGAGATATGATAAGGATATAGAACGACGAGTGAATGCGGGAAATAGAGTAAATGGGGCCCTGCACTCTATTGTGAAGAGTCAAAATGTGTCGAAAAAGGCACGTATGGCAATTCACAATGCTGTGTTGGTCCCTACTTTAACATATGGTAGTGAAAGTTGGGTGTGGCAGAAGAAGCACGAGAGTAGAATGAACGCAGTAGAAATGCGGTCGTTAAGGAGTATGTTAGGGCTGAATCTTAATGACAGGGTAAGAAATTGTGTAATAAGAGAAGAGTGTGGTTTGCAAGATGATGTTGTGACCAGGATTAAGAAAGGAATGCTTCGGTGGTTTGGTCATGTGGAAAGAATGAATGAGGAAAGAGTGACAAAGAAAATTTATGTTGCAGAAGTGAATGGCAGAGTCGGAAAGGGACGTCCTAGGCGAAAATTTATCGACCAAATTGGCGATTTATTGAAAACGGGCCAAATTAGGAGTACCCTTAACCGACGAGCATGTATGCGGAGGTGTATGGATGTGAAGGAGGCGAGAGAGGTGTGTCAGGATCGTGCCAAATGGAAGTCTGTAGTCTCTGCCTACCCCTCTGGGTGACAGGCGTGAGTGTTTATGTTTATGTTATGTCATTAATATACAATACAATTTCTTGTCAGAGTTACTCTCTAGATTAGGTTTTAAAACAGTTAACGCTTTTTTTGTGTAGCCAAGTCGGCCATCAATTGTACTATACCACTTTGTTATAGTAAGAGTCGTTAAGCTTTCGGTGAATAGTAATATAAAGTTAAAGCAAAATATCTTTCTGTGTAATATTTAGCCCTAGGTAGATGTCACGTTTTATTTTTAAGCAGCTGTCTGTTTAAAGTTCACGTTCTTCAAATATGATATTTTGTAAAACTACTTTATTTTCCTAATTTATTAAATATTTTTCAGATAGTTCATTTAATAACTCTTAAAAATCAACAACTTTTTTTGAAATAGCGGTTTTGTGATTGAAGCCTTATAATAAAAACAAAAACTTGGTTAACCCAATCTAAGCCGATAAACTGATACGACTTTTCTTTTTTCAAATCTGATTTTTAAGTTTAAGTTAGCTAAACCACCCATTTCGATTTATTACATGTTTTAAATTTTATCCCGCATAATGTAAAATAAATATGTTGAAAAATAATAAACTTACTTTCAATAATTTCAAAGCTTTTTTTCGAAGATCATTTTCAAATGTTTAAAAAAAATATTTTCAAATAACACCTTGGTATTATTTATCTATATGTTACTTATAATAAAATAAAAACATAATATGCGGATTATGGTGACTTGTCTATCGATAAAAAATATCGACATAGTTCACGCCCTACGTTATTTACGCATTTGGACAGCGGCAACAGTGTATCGACATGTGTACAATTTGATGGTATATGCGTAAATGTAATGAACACAAACAAAAATGGTGTAGTGTGCGTTTATAGTAACGCGATTTAATTTTGCATTTGTAGTTAAGTATACAGTTGTGTGTTTCTCTTGCGCTGCCCTGATGTTGACAGAATTTTTGTTTAGGAATTAACACGCATGGCCTCTCCAGTTG